ACATGCCCAGTACTCATGTGTTCTAATGACTGTCCTGCAAGAAGCCCTGCGGTGCTTTCACACACATCCCTGCCCCTGCTTTGAAAGTTCACCCTTTTGCTCAGTGTACATATTATCCACCTGTAAGCACAGAGCCTTTTAGTCTACACGTAATTAGAAAATCTGCCATTAGCCAGGCAGTAAACTGCCCAGCGGAGAGCAGCCCCAATTAGATATGCTTGTGCGTGTGTGCGTGCGTGTGTGTGTGTGTGTGTGTGTGTGTGTGTGTGTTTGACATAGTGGTTCCAAATGTAGCTCTTTCTACATTTCTAGGTTATATTGATATTTCAGATCCTTCTTCTAAAACTCCTTGGAGAATCACAGTATTTTGAAATAGATACTGAAAAGATGGTCAAGCCCAAACCCACGTGGAAGCACGTTATAACCTCTAAAACAACACACCACTCTGACCCACAGAATCTCAGGGCCTCCAGAATGGGGAGTCCCAGCTCTAGGTCCAGGCTGCCTCCCTCGCTCACTCTGCCTGGTGGACAGGTAATGTCCTCCAAAGCTTCTCATCACTCGGCCTAGGCTGGGAAAGTTAGTACAGAGCTGTCCCGCAGGGAAAGGTTTTTCTTATAAGTTGGATCTTGTTTTAAGTATGCAAAGGCCTTGATTATTGAGTCTTGCAGTGAAATGTTTACATAGTGAAGAACTGTGCTCTAAATAATCTACCCACTTGATTCATTTCCACAACACTGGTTAAATCTACAATTGGGTTTTCTGCTGTTCCTGCCCTTCTCCGCCACTTGCTAGGTCGTGTGACCTTGGGCAAGTCCTTTGCCTTTCTGACTCTTAATTTTCTCTAATACAAAACAGATTTAACACACCTGCTCTGCCTATACCCTCAGGGATGCTGGGAAGAACAAGCTGGAAAATGTAGGTGAAAGCAGTTTGTAATAACAATTAAAATAAGAGTAATAGCTAATATTTATTCAGCATTTATTTTGTGTCAGGCACAACTTCACATGAGTTAATTCATTTCATTCCTTTAACAAATCTAAGATGCAGATTTTGCTATTATCCCCGTTAACAGACAAGACACCGAGACATAGAAGCCGAGTAACCTGCACTAATTACTTGGAATAAGAAGTTGAAATAAGTGACCACACATTACCTGAACATAGTAGAATATATTAAAACTGATACAGATGGCCAGAGATAGCATAGTACAAATATGATATCACAGAAAAATCAAACAATCGCCATTTTAGAGATGTGGCAACTCAGGTCCAGCCACGTTTTGTGGCCTGCCCACTGTCAAGTATTATCTATTTAGAATATCTATAATTTAGAACATGTATAAGTATTCCTTTTTTAAGTTGCGGGAAGTAGAGCAAAGCAGTTAGGAACCTGGGTGCTGGACTCAATGCCAAGTTTTTAAATTCCAGCATGACCATTTAAAGAGCTATTTTACTAGGAAGTTAAAAATTAAACATCTGTGGACAACTATAAGAATAAATCCTTAAGAAATGCTAGCTGCTATTCCTCTGCCCCAATCCCTACAGCTAGGCCCCAAAGCACGTCAAGGGCTCTAGAGAAAATTGCACAGTTCTCTTTGAAAGTGCTAATAGCATTAAGATTTGGAGAGGAGAAGGAAAGAAAGAGTTCAAGTGTGAACTTTCTGTTTACCGTTTTTCTGATAAATCTCTAAAAAGAATAAAACCTAAATTTAAGAATCAAATCTTCATAAACACATTTTCATTCCATTTCCTGCCACTGTCTGCACAGGGGTACTGAATAATATCCAGAAGCCTATTAGAAATAGGAGGCAGAAAGGAAAGCTAACCCATCTACAGAAGAAGCAAGTCCTTAAGAGGGGAAGAGGGCATAACCCCCGTGGCCCACCTGTACACCAGGCACTCACAGGCCTATGGCCGTAAACAGCATGACTTGATTGCAGGAGAGACAGAACTGGGTCAACTCCAGCTCTGCCACTGATGAGCTGTGTAGCCTTGGGCACAGTGGCTCAATTTTTCTCTCTAGCAAGAGCTTCTGAACCCACAGCTGGCCCAGCTGCTCCTCTAGGGTGGGACCCCTGGGAGTCTCCTATGGGGTTTGTGGGATTTATCCCATTGGTTTCAAGGCCAAGTTCACACGCCCTGAAAGGTACTTCCTGGAGTCTTTCGGGATCAGACTGGCCAGTCAAAGGGGCCACAAGGGAGATACTATGGGAATACGTTGGACAAATAGGACCCCACTTGCCATTGAACCAAATGAATATCAAAGTGTAACTGAGTCAAGATTCCCTCGATAGCAGATTGACCTGACATCCCATCAGGACAAAGCAGGTCTCTCTCTCATCCACACCCGCAACCCTCTCTAAGCAAGGCCCACCAGCCTTCACTACCTGTTCATTCCAGGTACACACCAGAGTTGAGGCCAAAGGATAAAGATAAGCATTGCTACATTTGAAGAGTGAGGCTGTGATTTGAAGGTACTGTACTAGTAAAGTATACTTAGCTAA